TCGTGGTATTAGATGCGGATGCCCTGTGGATGGTAGGCCAAGATCTAGTGTTGATCAAGGGCTACCGTCGGGCGGTCCTCACGCCAAATGTCGTGGAGTTTAAACGCCTGTGTGACCAAATCGGAATGAATCCTGAGATTCCGGCGGGGGAGAGAGCTAGTCTGATATCGAAGGAACTGGGAGGCGTTACGGTATTACAAAAAGGGGCCAGAGATATCATATCGATTGATACAACAGGAGATACTGCTGATTTATCAACCAGTCACTTGCAGGGAGCCAGCGAGGAGAGAGAAAAAACCAAAGAGACTATCGAAATCGATGTTCAAGGTGGAATGAAGAGATGTGGTGGCCAAGGAGATGTTCTCAGTGGCTGTGTGGGCGCCGTACTCGCCTGGGGGAAGTGTTATGAGGAAGGCGCGTACGGGTACGGCTTCTTTGCAGTTCTATTTGTGATGGTCAAAATCTTATTTTTCCCCCAAGGGATGGGACGGTCCCTCCTTCCAGAGTTCCACTTTTGGCAGCTGTAGGAGGCAGCATAGTAACTCGTACCACCAATAAGCGGGCATTTTCGAAACAAGGCAGAGGAACGGTTACAGCAGACATGATTCCCGAGATTTCTCTAGCTTTTGAAGAAATGTTGGGGAGTGGCCAAAATTAAGCAATAGTAAAATTGGAAACTGTTACCTACAGCATCTGACACAACTGTAATAACGAAATTTGGGCTCTCTTAGATATACTCCCGAACCCATTTTCGAATCTTAGTGTATTGAAAATGAAAACAATAGGGTATACTCGTCTCTCATATATTCATTCAATTCTATTTATATTGAGATGATCTTCCTTAAATAGGTCATGTCATACCCGGCGTACACTGGGTTATATGTGGATATTTGACAGGCTACATGATATATTGTTATTAGCTATAGGCCGGGTTGGTCGAGAGAAGTAAGAATTGAGAGGTTACGTACATGTTCAGTATAGGTAAAGTCACGAGCACTCCTTTAATTGAGAGCACGCCTATTTTCTATGAATAAATAAACCCTTCGTGATCACCGTCTTCTGTCACTGTCACTCTCTGCAAGGTCTTTAGTACGAAGGACAGAGTATGAAGAGAAATGCTTTTACCGGAGTTGCACATGGTCCAAGGCCCTAGTTAGATCGTTATTAGTGTATATATCTCAATGACCAGGGAACACATGGACTCACAGGACAGTCTTCGGGGTTGGGACAATACCGATAACATTCGATATTGCATGTATTCCGGTTAACCTGGATGACCGACTGTACGTTGGAGTTTCTCTTGAGCGTCGGCAATTCAACACCAAAGAAAGTTCCATTGAGCCTATACTTTTCTCCTAACACCACGTACGCACGGCCGGTCGTGTAGTTTGCAAACAATTCTGACGCGTAATCCCAGAGCTTGCTCCCGACCATGCCAGTCTGCGCCGAAGGGGTGTTGGGCATCACGAAACCACCAATCTCGCACATCAACATCCCAATCGTTTTGGCACCTAAAGCTTCCGCGCAGCGGTCCGCCATGTGAATAACTGACTTTCCGTTGTCCCTGCCGCTCCAGTAGACAGGGACTTCGGTGAGTGGGTTCGGTAGCTTTCTAGCAATGTCCTCCATGGAGGTCCATTCAGAAGCATTAGGTGTTCGCACTGGCTCCTCGCAGGCTGGTAAGCCCCATGCGACTTGGGATGGCTTGGATACGTGGGTGTCACGCCCACCCAGAGGGAAAGCATTTACAATCCCAAGGAATATTAGGAAGAGTATAAACATCGACGACATGGCGGCCACACAATTTGAACGGGGTGTAGAAAGCGCTCAAGGGGCTTACAAGCTTGCAAGGCTTCGCCTGTGGACGTGAGGCTGAAGGGTGCTTTTTGCTTTGTTCGGCATTTTCTCCATTTCGGGGGCTAAACCCTGCAGACAAGGAAAAGAGTTATTCGGTTTGGGATGTTCCCTGTATTTAGTAAACCAATTATGACAGCCCAAATGAATGGTGCAATACCGAGATGAATGTTTTTCAGTCGTGACAGCTTGATTTCCGTTCCTCAGGATGGCAAAAGAGTGCAATATATTTCCTTAAAGTAGATGTAGAAGCAGCCTATTCTCCGGCTCGAGAAACTCAGTTTGTGGGTCCATTCTATGCAAGAGTGTTTTGTGGACCCTGGACCACGAGCAGAGTGATTTGATGCCAACCCAAGGCGACGTCACTGAATTAGGTTCGAGTAGGTACCCTGACTCAGAATGTCGTCTGTGTCCCTGGATTCTGTCATTAATCAAATTAGAAATCTCTCGTACATCCGTTCTCACCATGACCGTGTTCAGTAGAACCTTGACTCCCAAACCGCCCTCCAATTTCCAAGGAAGGGCCCAAATTTTTAGTCAGTAGCACTCTATGTACGCACAACATCCGCCAGAGCACTGGTTATTCGGGTAGTTAAATAACTTAAATCTGTTGGGTTCGATCTGAAGACATGCTGGAAGGGTAGATTCCATGGCTACCGGCCGCGGGTATGTGTACGTATATCGGCGACTCGGCATGTCAGTTACGACATGGAGGCTGCCACGTGCTGGCATCTATTGTTCTCACGCTCAACCTCGATCAAGAAACATTTGCAGAAACCTATCGCACAAAACGTGTCCGATGAAAAAAATACAATTATTTCCGTGAGTTACACGTAGTATTACTACGGGAATGATACTGAATTTACACAATCTAGAGTTACAAGATGACCGAATTAGTCCTGATAATAGCCATGCTGAAGCGACGACCACAAGAAATATCCTAGCCCAACGAAGACAGCTACCACATTCCTTACGAAGGCATTGACGTCCGATAATTCTGTGCCCAGGGTTCCAATTCCTTTGTGGCTGCATCAAACGTAATGCCACAGTCTGCAAGATGCCTGACAACATCCTCAACTGCAATCGCCGCAGGGCCACGATAAGGCCTAATCGTCGTTGCTGGCGCAACTTTGAAATTAGTCGTCTCGATACGATTCTGATAAGCTCCAGGGGTCGAAAATAAGTCAACAACACATGCCATAAATTCTGCTCTTGGCGCGGTATTCCCCGCTGGATCGGCCTCAGGACGTAGACGAGCTACGGTACGACTCGCCTTCAAGTCCGCAAGAATGGGTTTATTACGGGCATCGCGGCGGACGCCCCTCGGCCAAGACGCCTGATGAGTGCACAAATATTCGTACCAAACCTCTACGGGATCATCCACTCGTGGATTCATCTTGATGGTCGAGGGTGAGTGACCCCCTGGCCGGACGGGAGTGCGAAGTGGAGGAGTGGACGTCACGATGGAAGGAGGGACCCCTCCTCCAGGAGTGGGGTTCCTCCAGGTCGACAACAAGACTCGCTGTAACTCGGTCTTCTGCTCTCGGGGAGTCGCGTGAGCTTCCGAGCAAAGAACCTTAACACGACTCAGGGCCGCTTCGTTCCCCGGTTGATGGGCCGCAGTCATAAGCGCATGCAGTTGGCGGATGGTCTTTGGATTGTTTGGAAAACTGGTTCGAGCCGGGGGCACCGGGGTAGCGGAAAGCTTGGGAGATGGGGCAGAGTTGTTGGAGCGAGTAGGGAGATGAACGACGCGTTGCCCGCTTGCTGAGGTGGTATAGGCAGTCGGTGACGCACCAGATGACGCCACTGCAGCATATGATGTGGGAACGCGTGATGGCTCAGGGACGCTGGGTGCCTCATTCTTCAATAACACTAGAGGAGGAGCCGGACAGATCTCTAGCTTGAGGGAAGGGGGAGGGCTCTCTACAAAGTGGTGTGAGATGGCCTGTTTTGCCTGCAATTTGTTAGCAAGTTCTTCATTCTCCCTGTTCAAAACCTCTATGCTTTGTCGAAGTCTGTCACTTTCGGCTTGAGACGCACGCAGGTGCTCCGTCACCATCTGCAACTCCTCACGACTATCGTGACTTTCAATACGATACCGTGAAATAGCCTCTAGAGCGTCATTGCGCTCCTTTCTGTAGCGCTCTCGATCCTGGTAGACGTAGTCGTCGTCGTCGCGCTGGCGACGGCGTCCTTCGCTAACTCCATCGTGAAAATACGCGTCACGTAGACGATCGCGGACCTTTACGGCATTTTGGAAAGAAGGCTCGTGTTCCGCTTCAGCCAGGTGATTTAAGTACGCGTGGCACACTCCGCAGCCACTGAAATGAACCATAGTATCGTGCATTGGGTGGCAACCCCAATCTCCCTGGACATGAGGATCAGGAATTTGGGAAGGAGAGTCTGAAGCCTGGCGTGGTCTCTTTCGAACGGATCCATTTGCGCTGAAAAACATGTTAGATGAATCGAAGTGAGGATGGGCCGAGGTCGCGCCACCAGTGCCACAAGGGCTTCTTGGTTGCGATATGGGCGAGATGGAGCTGATACAAGACAGTGGTGATAGCGCTAGGGCGCTGGGAGGTGAGGATAGATATTGATTCCTAGAAGACGAATACAACGATGATCTTGGGAAATCGCGTTGCATATGTGTTGAAGGTCTGTGAATGAAATGAACATGATGCACAGCCCACAACCAGATTTGGGAGAATGATGCCAACAACGGAACATACCCCTATGCTCCTCCTTAACCGTCAGCGCTTCAGCTACACCGAAGAGATTTTCTAACGAAGAGCTTTATTCCACATTAGGTCTAACGTCCAAACCCTGTCTGTACACATACTAGATATACAGACGATTACAAGCGCATATACTATCAGAACATCAATTGACCTCAGTCTCTTTTTACTTCCCTCTCTATACCCGCTTCACACGCTCTATATAACCTTCTTCCTCATCTGCTTGGAACCAATGCCCGTTGACTCCACAGTGGTCACAATTGACGCGTTATTTGTCCCTGTTTGTTCGTGAGTCCGACGCGTTATGACAAAAAAAAAATATCATGGGCTCCTCCGTCCCCCTTTCCGATCGGCTATCTACTACAATACATGGAAGCTATAAAAATGTGAAAGATATCTGCAAAAACATGGGGCCACTGTGGATCGAACACAGGACCTTCAGAATGCTTACACATTTATTACAACATGATATCTTCAGTCTGCTGCTCTCCCAGCTGAGCTATGGCCCCGCGTAAGTATGTTCAAAGTAGAAAAATGATTGTCAATGTCCACTTGATACATGTATTCAGCTGTACGGAAAACGACCTTCTCCGGCCATAGAGCCCTAACTATCGCTCGTGCGCATGATTCAAGTCTCTCGAAAGAGCGGATATTGACGTTTTCATAATTTATTCACGTCCAAGCTTGGTAGTACAGAGTTCTCAGTTGATGATGTTAGTATTATTGGGCCCTCAAGCGACCATGGCCTCCTCAGATGACATACGCGACTTGGATTCCTCTCCCACTTCACTCTCGGGCACACCTACCAAGCCCATCTGATTTGTGTCATACCCATTCACCTCCAGGTACTCCCGGAACTGAAAAACGGATGATAAGAGTAAATCTAGGATATAACTAGGAGCGTAACGGACCTCAGAATCTTCACGCGCCATACCGTCCGGTGTCAGAGGTTGAATGAAGAGGAATGTGATAAGGGCACTGAGGAGTGCTAGGGCTGTTTACACATCTCGAAAGTGAAAACAGGTAGTGTAATTAAGAGCAAGTATGATTTACCACTCCCAATCCAAAACGGACCTGTGTTTCCGCGGAGTGAGTCGGGACCCCCAAAAGCTTTGATATAATTTAATCAGTCAAGGGCAGTACAGACAATTTATAAAACCGACATTTGATTATTGGAGGGAAAACTACCCAGAGAGACTGTCAAATGGGGGATCTCAAAGACCAAAGTTATATACTTACTCCAAGTCCCAATAAATGCGCCCAGCTTCCCAGTTGCGGCAGCGACTCCAAAGAACTGCCCGCGTACGGCAGTAGGGCAGCTCTTGCTCGCGAGAATAAATGTGCAGTTTCCGGGGCCGAATTCTCCAAAGGAGAGGAATATTCCATAAACGACCTGTATGACATTCGCCATGTCGGTCAAGCTACAAGTAATAAAATGCAAAGGCCTTACAGCGAAAGCCGCAATATTATCTGTGAGTCTTTCTTCTCGTTTAGCCTTTGTCTAGATCATTGGAGACATGATTACATACCTGAGATAGAACCCGCTCATAAAAAAACCAATAATGGCTTGTAAAACAAGGCCAACGATCTATACCCAAATGTTAGTCATGTATCATGAGCATAGAACAAAGGGTAGGGGGTACAAACCAGTGTCCATTTCGGTCCCAAGTAGTCAATGACGAAAGCACCCAAGATAGTCCCTGAACAATAAAAAGATAAATAAAGGATGGCTGCACTTTCTGAAGGGCAGAACCCGGCATATAAAACAGGCTGGAAGAGGATAAGGTAATGCTCGTGAGTGGAATGATGATTTTATACGTACTTGATTACGACATTCCAGCCGAAAACAATAGTGAGGTCCGTGGACCCGCCGGTAACACTACACGGTCATTCAAATCAAATAATGAGGTCAGGGCAAACACCTGGTCTAGCTTACTTGTTGACAATAGTTGATGAATAGATACCAAACTATTACACCAATCAGCCTGAGTTCCTTAATGAACAAATAATTTGTAAATTGTACTCACTGGATATCTGATAATATAAATTTTCTAAAAAAAACAGTGCAATAAAATGGACGTAGTACATACACAATCATATCATACAGGAACCTGTGGCCATACAAAGCGAGCCGTTCATCATACGAAACAATAAAAGGATTTGAAGGACCCACCAAACGAAAGAAATCGCAGCTAACGACTTCCAGTATCGCCTCAAGACCAAAACGTACGGTATACGGGTGTATTTCATGGAATCCTTCTTGTATCTTACTGGTTCGTCCATATTCAGACGCCAGAGGAAGACTCCGAGTGCGGGGATGATGCCGAGACCAAGAGAGAGGCGCCAGACCGCGTGTAAGTGATTGGGGCCGAAGCTGTTGGCAATGAGCACAGATCGTCATAGTACACCAAAAGAGGAAACATACATCCAAAAGAGGACTAGCGGGACGAATGCTGCGATAACGAAGCCAAAATCGATCATAGTATCTAGTAGGGACAAAATTAGCCTTGAGACAAGACGAGTGCGTTATTTCAGGAAAAGCGTACTGGTTGAGAGTGCGAGCCAGCGGTGCCACGCTCCCTTGTTAATTCCTGGCTCTTCAGATTGTTCGGAGGCAGAGACGGAACCGCAAGGATATTCTGCGCCCAACCCGATGCCGAGGAAGAACCTGAATTGAGATTGATTTGATCCATGAACAGACAGTCAGACAGGGCTGCTACGTACCGCATGGCACTGAGCATACTCAGAAGACCCCCAACACTTCCATGTGCGCCCGAGGAGGCTGCGGCGAGTCCAGAGAATACAAGGATGATTGCTGAGGCCGCCATCTGATTACAATTATATGAGCCTTTTCACCCCATACGCGTTGTGGTCACGCACCATGCCAAATTTCCTGCCTAGCTTGTCGGAGAGATAGCCTTTGACATGGGTGTGGGCTTGGATCCCAAACGATGTCAGATAGAATCGGGTCTTACCGAATAAAACCATGCCGACAACGAACCCAGCGAAGCCAACGCTATTGACTACTGTACTGTAGTTGTGGTGGGACAACGCTTCCTTCCCGTATACACGAGTCAAAACTGTGGATTTGAACTTGGAAGGCGCACAAGCCAAAAAGCAAGGTTCACTAACGAGTATTTACTTTAGAGGCGTTAAGCGTTAAGTGTGGCTGGACAACGGAATGAGTACAGAACTCACCACTCCCGATGACCCCATTTGCATACCCTATGAATTGTCAATAGGAGTCAGACGATGTTCCTTGAGATCCTGAATAAATCACCATCTGAAAACAAAGCAGTTCCACAGCTACGGAGAAATAGAACGAACGTGAGCCCTGCAAGATATGCGAAGAAATTACGCACGCAAAAATCAAGGAAACCTTCTGTATTCGTGTTTTCAACGGTGTTGACATAGTGATAGCGGGGGGGTTCATCCAGGCTGTTTATTCTGAGCACAAGACTCAACTATGATGATTAGTGTGGATATGGGGGCCGAACGGACCCGATCAGCATGGCATGCACTATCTTTCGACGACAGCGTGTATTTTGGTGAGCCCTGAGCCATACACCCTACGCACGTTTGCTTGTCCATGCTTTGAGGGCTACATTTAGATCAAGACTTCTTTTCGGGTGACGTATTGGCGCGCTACATTTAGACTCGAATTTTACAGGTTATGTAATAGTCTTGAAAGTGATGTTGATGGATCCAAAGATTTCATTGTTGACTGCCATTTCTATTTCGCCAGCACGTCCGGCAGCGACGCATTCGACCCACGGTATCCCACTTTCGGTCTGTTTCAGCGCCTTCTGGCTCGAGCTTCGCTCGTCCGTCTCATTTGGCGTAAGGATGATAAAATATACAGTCGAGTTGATTAAACAGCTACAAGTGATAATATGAGTAAGTGAACAGTCAACTTCGCCAATATTGTGCCAAATCGTGAATACGATCTAGGACCACAGCTAGATATGACGTCTCGTTCAACAGTGCCTCGAAATGCTTGATTGCTTCCTCCTCCGTTAAATCTAACCGAAACTTTTCCTGGATCTGTTCGTGTACATCCCGATGTTTGATATCAGGGATATTCGCGTCCACCATCAGCGCGACCAAGTTCAGGATGAGATTCGCACTCTTCCTGAGGATGCTAAAGGCCGTGAAGCAAAAGTTTTTGAAGCGTGCATAGTGAGGAGACTGCGCTCCTCCCATCCCGTCTACCATTTCCTTGCATACTTTTACAGGTGGAGGGAATGGCTTCGGATCACGTCCCAAGATGTAACCAAAGTCGACTGGAAGCTTCAAGTTAGTGAGTTTTCGAATGATCCATGCATGAATATAATACCATGGAAAAAATGACCTGCACGAATGGAAGTTAATGTCGATTGTAAAGAGACTAGGTCACAATGGGCATACCGTCCGGAGCCACCAGGAGGTTGTCTAGATGACGATCGCCAACTCCAAGCAGATACGTGACCACACAGTATCCAGCTAAATAGAAACGTCAGATCGACACCTCCAAATTTCGAGCTCACATACCGCAACTCCTCACAAAGGTATCAATAACGCTGGGCTCAACGCCAGACGTACCCACACTACCTTCATCCGGGTTGTTGGCCCTCAGGTAATTAAGCAGATTTCCGTGTTCGCTAACAATTGCTGCGATTGTTTTGCTTGGAATGAACTGGGCCATGCCCTGTAGGGGGCCCGTTGCCAACACATTGTATGGGCTCAACTTGAGGTCCAGATTCTCTTTCCTCAAAAGGCGATCCATGAGTGTAAATAGCTGGATGACGAGCTGATCTTGCCGCATATCGTCTCCGTCCTTGAATATAACGGGATATTCGGAACCATCCGAACATTGGAAATAGAGTAAAAGTGGGTAGAGGTTTGATTTGAAAACGGAGGACTTTTCGGCTATTATCCCTGTAATTTCTACACGGGCATTGAGGGGGAGAGGGAGGGGTGGCATTGACGCGAGATTGTTCTTCGAATCAGTAAGAAGCGCGCGCAGCTTTTCGATTTTCTTTGGTCGAGGGTCCTTTGATGTCCGGAGCTCTTTTGCACGCTTTGCCAAAGTATCAATGAGCAAACCCTGCCGGCGCATCAATTCACGCCGTTCTGAACCATTATCTGCCTGGAAAATGAAATTTAGATGGTATAAGAGCTCAAGGGCACTATGTCTCACCTCTAAGATCTTGTTCATGAATTTGAACACTACTCGGCCGTACATCTTAGCCATCACCCGATCTTCAAGTGCAACTTCCACCATTAAGTACCAATATAATCGGTTTCCGAGGACTTGGTTGGCCACTCCACGTGCAATAAGGAAGTCCGTGAGGCCACTGTCGTCGTAGGAAATTGCACTTGTTGTCGTTCGAGCTGAACGTTGCTCACTTGCGGCACTTTCAAACTTTAGGGCTTGAACCAATTGGAGGAGATACAAAAGTAATTCCTATAGGGAAAGATCAATAATTGTCTTAGTATGCAAGAAGGGCAACGTACATCATCATCTGCT